TCGGCTTTGATCTCCTCGCCAATGCTTCGGCTGCTCTGCTTCTTCTGAGAGGGCTCCTTCTTTCTCCACGCTCATCGGGCTGCTTTCCCTTTCCCTCCTCCCTCTTTTCCCTCCTTCCTCCTCCTCTTCCTCCTCCTCCCTTCCCTCCCTTCTCAGCCAGGCATATAAGACACCCGGTGCGGGCGACTCCTTCTCCACCCGGCTCGAATAACTTCCCTCGGGAGAAAAGCCAACTTGCTTCGCCTTTGCTTCTCTCGTTCAGCGCGCTCTCTCTGCTCTGCCCCATTCCCAGCTTGTCTTTTCAAGGAATCGCTCGATCCTAAGGAATCCCTTGCCCCGCAAAAACGAGGGGTACGGGATCCTCATCCGTCCGGCCCGCTTTGAGAGTGAATTTCTTGGGAAATTCTTGGGAAGCAAGGATTTCCCGTATAAAAACCCATCGGTTCACGTTCTGAATGGAGGGGATAATAGTCTAGAAGAGTTTGATTTGAACGGGTGAGGACCTCTGAGGATGCCTGCCATAAATGCAGGCGAAACGTCAGGAGAGAATGCTTCTCGAACATGGCCAGACAGCCCGGAAAACTCACAACAATCCAGAATCGGAGCCTGCATATTTCTACACGGATATATAATCGACATAGAGGGAGATGTAGATTATAGAGATGATATAGATAAATAAATCAATATATTTACCTTAGATATAAAAAGAGAGAATGATGTAGATTATAGATATAGATAGATATAGAGATAAACAGATAGATATATACCATCTAGATGTCTATCAGTATAAACATAGATGTAGATATAGATAATATCTATATACTATCTATATCTATTTCTATAGATGTAGATATAGATCTATAGATGATATATAGGTATCCAGATCTACATCTATGTTTATATTGATAGACATAGGTATCATCTAGATGTATATATAGATATCTATATATTGATAGACATAGGTATCATCTAGATGTAAATATAGATATCTATATCATATCTATTTCTATAGATGTAAATATATACTTATGGATATATAGGTATCCAGATCTACATCTATGTTTATACTGATAGATAGACATCTAGATGATACCTATATCTACATCTATATATTGATAGATCTAGGTGTTATATAGATATCTATCAATGCACAGAGGTAGATATGGATTCCTATATATCATCTATATCTCTAAATGTAATTAGAGATATAATCTATATATCATCTATGTCTATATCTATAAACATTCATATGTAGATCTAGATTGATATAATCAATATATCATCTATATCTATCTATATAAACATAGATGTAGATATAGGTAACTATATATCATCTATATCTATAAATATATAAAATAAAGATATAGATCGATGTAATCTATATATTATCTATATCTAGAATAATAAACATCCATATAGATGTAGATACAGATAGATAGATATAATCAATTTATCATCTATAGATGTAGATATAAATGCCTATCTATCCTCTGTATCTATTAATATAAACTTAAATAGAGATAGATAATCTATATATCATCTATGTCTATATCTATCTATAAATATAAACATTCATATAGATGTAGCTTTAGATAGATATAAACTATATATCATCGATATCTATATCTATCCATAAATTTAAACAATATAGATATAGATAGATACAATCTATATATCTATAAATATAAGCGTCAATACAGATGTAGATAATCTATATATCATCTATACCTATATCTATTTATAAATATAATCAAATATAGATGAAAAGGAGAAATCTAGATATCACTTATAACTATCTATAGCTACATCTATATGTATTGGTAAATAAATATCTATCTGTCTATATTTATATAGATATATAGACATAAATATATATGTAGATATAGATAGTTATTAGTGATATAACTGTGTGTGTGTGTGTGTATTGGTAAGTATAGGCAGGCACATCTAAATATCATCTATCTATCACCTGTCTATATTTATATAGATATATAGACATGAATATATATGTAGATACAGTTATAGGTGATGTAAGTATCTATATCTACATCTATAGTAAATATAGGCACATCTATCTATCTGTCTATATTTATATAGACATATAGACATAAATGTATATGTAGATATAGTTATAGGCGATATAAGTATCTATATCTATGTATATATTGGTATAGGCACATCTACCTATCTGTCTATATTTATATAGATATATAGACATAAATGTATATGTAGATATAGTTATAGGTTATATAACTAATGTGTGTACGTATGTATATATATATAGAGAGAGAGAGAGTAAGTATAGGCAGGCACATCTAAATATCATCTATCTATCTATCTGTCTGTATTTATATAGATATATAGACATAAATATATATGTAGATATAGTTATAGGTGATATAAGTATCTATGTATATGTATATATTGATAAATATAGGGTAAATATAGGCACATCTAAATATCATCAATCTATCTGCCCATATTTATATAGATATATAGACATAAATGTATATGTAGATATAGATTGTTGAAGTAAAGTGAAATTTAATTCATTATAGATTATATAGATTACATAGATACATAGACACGGGGATGTATTAGGTTGGAGAAGCCTTCTTACAAATAATTTCGCAGGGAGGACGATCAAGATCATGTTCCCTTCGTTGGATCTCAATCTAAAGAACATATATCTCCTTTCTATGCATCTATAGCGAGGCACACGTATATAAGGTTGGATGTTATATAACCCCAAACGATTTGTGTCTCTCCCTACGTCGCACTGCGCCGTTCTTATCGAAGAAAGTGAAGATTTCCCCCCTCTATAGATGATATATACTCTCCCACACTGTCGGGTTTTGGATAAGTGTGTGTAAGAGAGAGAAAGAGAAAGAGAGAGAGAGAGAGAGAGTATCCGTGTGTGTGTGTGTTGTGTGTGTGCGCGCGCGCGTGTACACCAAGGGCGTGTGAGTAATTATATGCATAATATATGTGTGCTCAATCTGTCGATGTGTTCTATATAAACTCGGCGGATGGGGCGGCGTGGCCCTCTCCTGGGCGAGGTCGGCTTCTCCCGCCTATTGTCTCAGGCAGCAGAGAGAAGTGGCGATGGGAGAGGACGGCCGGGTTGGGTGCCTCCTGTCCCCCGCTTCCAATTATAGATGGATCATTACCGACAGAGCAGCACGGCGAGCCCAGGCAGCACCCGCTCCTCCTCCTCCTCCACCTCCTCCTCCTCACATGAATGCGCTCCCCTCCTAGAGAACAGCCCGCCAACATGCTCTGGAAACTGGTCGAGAACGTCAAGTACGAGGACATCTACGAGGTGAGGGGGACAGGTGGACACCGGGGAGAGGGTGCCCCACGCCGAGGCTCTGTGGGGGTTGGGGCATCCCGGGAGAGGAACTTTCCGCGTGGTGGGAAAGGGAGAGAGGTGCCTTTCTAGACGCCAGGCAAAGGCTCCGCTAACTCCACGCAGGGCAGAGTTCTCGTCTTCCTTTTTTGGGGGGTAAAGTGGCCATTGGGAGCCGCTGTTGCCCCTGGGTGAAGGAGAAGGGTCTCCTGTGCCGGGACAGTCGCCTCTTGTCCTTTGTTTGGGGGTGGATGGAGCGGAAAGAGGGGCGGGAGGCATTCCTTCTCATCTCTCCTTCTCCCTTTCTCGTTTCCTCTCTTCCTCTCCAATCTCTCTCTCTCTCTCTCGTTTCCTCTCTTCCTCTCCAATCTCTCTCTCTCGTTTCTTCCTCTCTTCCTCGCCTTCTCTCTCTCGTTTCCTCTCTTCCTCACCTTCTCTCTCTCTCTCGTTTCTTCCTCTCTTCCTCGACTTCTCTCTCTCTCTCGCTTCCTTTTTTCCTCTCTCTCTCTCTCTCGTTTCCTCCTCTCTTCCTCGCCTTCTCTCTCTCGTTTTCTCTCTCCCTCGCTTTCTCTCTCTCTCTCTCATTTCCTCTCTTCCTCGCTTTCTCTCTCTCGTTTCCTCTCTTCCTCGCCTTCTCTCTCTCGCTTCTTCTCTTCCTCATTTTCTCTCTCCCTCTCGTTTCCTCTCTTCCTCGCCTTCTCTCTCTCGTTTCCTCTCTTCCTCACCTTCTCTCTCTCTCTCGTTTCTTCCTCTCTTCCTCGCCTTCTCTCTCTCGTTTCCTCTCTTCCTCACCTTCTCTCTCTCTCGTTTCTTCCTCTCTTCCTCGACTTCTCTCTCTCTCTCGCTTCCTTTTTTCCTCTCTCTCTCTCTCTCGTTTCCTCCTCTCTTCCTCGCCTTCTCTCTCTCGTTTTCTCTCTCCCTCGCTTTCTCTCTCTCTCTCTCATTTCCTCTCTTCCTCGCTTTCTCTCTCTCGTTTCCTCTCTTCCTCGCCTTCTCTCTCTCGCTTCTTACTCACCCTTCTCTCTCTCTTGTTTCCTCTCTTACCTTCTCTCTCTCGTTTCCTCTCTTCCTCGCCTTCTCTCTCTCGTTTCCTCGCTTCCTCGCTTTCTCTCTCTCTCTCGTTTCCTCGCTTCCTCGCCCTTTTCTCTCTCGTTTCCTCTCTTCTTCCCTTCTCTCTCTCTCTCTCTCTCTTTCCCTCGCTTCTCTCTCTCTCGTTTCCTCTCTTCCTCACCTTCTCTCTCTCTTTTCTTCCTTTCCCTCCTCTCTTCTCTCTCTCTCGTTTCCTCTCTTCCTCGCCTTCTCTCTCTCGTTTCCTCTCCTCATTGCCTTCTCTCTCTCTCTTTTCCTCTCTTCCTCACTTTCTCTCTCGTTTCCTCGCTTCCTCACTTTCTCCTCTCTTCCTCGCCTTCTCTCTCTCTCTCTCTCTCTCGCTTCCTCTCTTCCTCGCTTTCCCTTTCTCGTTTCCTTGCCTCCTTGCTTTCTCTCTCGTTTCCTCTCTTCCTCCCTTTCTCTCTCTCCTCGTTTCTTCTCTTCCTCGCTTTCTCTCTCGTTTCCTCGCTTCCTCCCTTTCTCTCTCTCCTCGTTTCTTCTCTTCCTCGCTTTCTCTCTCTCTCGCTTTCTCTCTTCCTCGCCCTCTCTCTTTCTCGCTTCCTCTCTTCCTCTCTTTCTCTCTCGTTTCCTCGCTTCCTCTCCTTCTATCTCTCGTTTCCTGTTTTCCTCGCCTTCTCTCTCTCGTTTCCTCTCTTCTTTTTCGGAGCAGACCCACCACCAGCTCGGAGGGTTCGGAAGATTTGAGTTCCTTGTTGTAGAGCTGGATCTATACTGCCCTATATCCCAGGATCTGCTTATCCCAAATAACCTAGCAGTGTAGACTCATATAGTACGGTTCAAAGCAGACAATCTTGGGATATAGGTAGTGTCCTCGGAACCTGTCTGCTTCCCTCTCTTCAAAGAAGGAGTTGTCTGAGTCAATGGGGGGAGAGTCCAGAGCCCTATATTCGCCGTAGTCTCTGAATTCAGCCCAAACTATTATTTCCTTGGAATATTTAAGGTATATTCTAAGGAACCCGCTTCCAAAGAGAAATGAAATCTATTTCGGTTATTCACATACACGGAACCTCCTTGGCGCAATGGGTTAAAACCTTGCTGACCTAAAGGTCGGGAAAGTTCGGGGGATGGGTGAGCTCCGGTCTGTCAGCTCCAGCTTCTCATGCGGGGACATGAGAGAAGCCTCCCACAGGACTAAAGGTCGGGAAGTTCGGGGGAGTGGGAGAGCTCCCGTCTGTCAGCCACAGCTTCTCATGCGAGGACGAGAGAAGCCTCCCACAGGACTGCTGACCTAAAGGTCGGGAAAGTTCGGGGGAGTGGGTGAGCTCCCGTCTGTCAGCCCCAAATTCTCATGCGGGGACATGAGAGAAGCCTCCCACAGGACTAAAGATCGGGAAAGTTCGGGGAGTGGGTGAGCTCCGGTCTGTCAGCCCAAGCTTCTCATACGGGGACACGAGAGAAGTCTCCCACAGGACTAAAGGTCTGGAAAGTTTGGGGGAGTGGGTGAGCTCCCGTCTGTCAGTCCAGCTTCTCATGCGGGGACATGAGAGAAGCCTCCCAAAGGACTAAAGGTCTGGAAAGTTCGGGGGAGTGGGTGAGCTCTTGTCTGTCAGTTCCAGCTTCTCATGCGGGGGACATGAGAGAAGCCTCCCACAGGACTAAAGGTCGGGAGTTTGGGGGAGAGGGTGAGCTCCCGTCTGTCAGCCCCAGCTTCTCATGCGGGGGACATGAGAGAAGCCTCCCACAGGAAGGTAAAACATCCGGGCGTCCCCTGGGTCAATTCTCTCACACCAGAAGCGAGTTGCCGTTTCTCAAGTCACTCCTGACACGAAAAAAAATTCACATGCACATCGGATAGGGAGACCCTCAAAAATAGTTTATTTCTAAAGGAAACGGGGATAGTAGGGTGGTTCTACACTGTTATATGATGCCTGATGTAGGCAAATGTACTATGCGCACTAGGCATAGGCTGCAGTCCAAGTGGCTTGAGGATTTCTTGTCAAAGTCTTTCCCAGCCAGCCGGAATCATTTCGGTGCTTGTGTGGTTTCCTGACCGTTTTCTAACAGCGTTTTCTCCCGACGTTTCACCTGGAGAGGATCCCCAAAGATGCCAGCCACAGAGGCAAGCGAAACATTAGGAGAAAATGCTGCTAGAAGGGCTGGGAAACCGCACAGCACCCGCTTGTTGTCAAGCGAGGCTCCCAAGCCTGGCTGGAGAGCTCCCTCCACTCGCCGGGTTGAACTTTAACTGGGAGGGCAGCCGGGCCAGTCCGACGGGTTCTGGGGAAGCGCCCGAAAGGTTTTCCGTCGCCTCTGGCTTTGCCTAGCAACCAGGCATTTCGAATTCGTTGCACACATCTAGGTGAAAAGTGGCCTCTGTTTTTGGCACAGCGAGAGGAAAACTCTTTCTGGGGTGGTGTGTGGTTTCCGGGCTGGGTTTTTCTCATCTTCGGGGGGTCTCTTGAGTCCAAAGCCTTGGACAATACATCAAACACTTTCTCTCACACCCACACCACAAGAGAGATTAAACAGAAGTTTCCCCGGGCTGTATGGCCATGTTGCAGAAGCATTCTCTCCTGAAGTTTCGCCCACATTTATGACAAACATCCTCAGAGGTTGTGAGGTCTGTCGGAAACTAGGGGTTTGGATTGCTTTGCCAAGGCAGAACAAACTGTAATGCTGGACTATATTATATATATTATTCATATATATATATATATATATATATATGAATAATATATATATGAATAATATATATTATATAATATATATAATATATAATATATATATTCAAAGAAGAAAAGAAGGAAGATTTCTGTTTGTCTACAGAAGTCATTAAGCATATATATAAATATTGCTGGGCCCATAACCATTTCAAAGTAATTACCTGGCCAAAGTGCTGATTCTAATTCAATTAACTCATATATGTGTGTGTGTGTGTGTGTGTGCCTCCCACAGGGCTGCTGACCTAAAGGTCGGGAAAGTTCGGGGAGTGGGTGAGCTCCCGACTGTCAGCCCCAGCTTCTCATGAAATGGGAGATCTGTCAGCCCCAGCTTCTCATGAAATGGGATGTGTGTGTGTGTGTGTGTGTATAATATATATCCAATTTAACTCAGCTCACCATGCTCCCCAGATTCGAACCTCCGTTCAGCAGCTCAGCATGGAGGGTCCTATATATATAGAGAGAGAGAGAGTATATATATGACCCCCCCCCATGCTGAGCTACTGATCGGAGGTTCGAATCTTGGGAGCGAGGTGAGCTCCCGCTGTCAGCCCCAGCTTCTGCCAACCTACCAGTTCGAAAACATGCACATGTGAGTAGATCAATAGGTACCGCTTTGGTGGGAAGATAAAGGCGCTCCGAACAGTTAGAAATGGGGATGAGCCCCACCCTTCAAAGTCGGACACGACTAGACTTCATGCCAAAGGGGAAACCTTTACCTTCCTTATATATATTAGAAGGGGGGAAAAGAAGGAAAAATTCTTTCAAATAATAGTAATAATAATAATAATGAGAAGAAGAAGAAGAAGAAGAAGAAGAAGAAGAAGAAGGGCTGCTCTAATTCTTAGAAGGAGAAAAAAAGAAGTCATATGTATATATATGTATGTGTGTGTGTATGTGGATATATATATATATATATTGCTGGGCCCATAACCATGTCAAGGTAATTAGCTGGCCAAAGTACTGATTCTAATTCTATTAACTCACTTCGCTGCTGATCGGAGGTTCGATTCTGGGGAGCGGGGGTGAGCTCCCGCTGTTTGCCTCAGCTTCCGCCAACCTAGTGGTTCGAAAACATGCAAATGTGATCAGTAGGTACCGCTTTGGTGGGAAGATCATGGCGTTCAATGCGGTCATGCCGAATAGTTCGGCTTAGAAATGGAGATGTGCCCCACCCCGCAAGGGGAAACCTTTACCTTTACCTTTATATATATACTAGCTTGGGGACCCCGGTTATTTGAGATAGGCATTGTTTCTCTGTGTTGCATTTTTAGTCTAGATCCAATGTCGTCTGGGTTCAGTGGGTGCGGGTGAACTACAACTCCCATATGCAAGTCCCATCGTCCATAGTCCATCCTCCTCCAAACTGCACCAGAAATTTCTGTTTGTTTACAGAGGGCTCTCTTTCTGTGTGTGTGTGGGGTTGTTGTAGATTTTTTTCGGGCAATATGGCCATGTAGCCCAAAAATAAAATACAACAACCTATATATATTTTGCTGGGCCCATAACCATATCATGGTAATTAGCTGGCCAAAGAGCTGATTCTAATTCCATTAACTCACTTCGATGTATGTGTCTGTGTATATATACTTAATTACTTTTATAAACAAACAGAAATCTGACTTCTTTTTTTCTCCTTCTAAGAATTAGAGCAGCCCTTCTTATTATTATTAGTAGTAGTAGTATTATTTGCTTAAAAATTAGAGCCTAAGCACCGAGGGCAATGTATACTTAATTACTTTTGGGGAGAAAACCCAGAAATTTGACTTCTTTTTTTCTCCTTCTAAGAATTAGAGCAGCCCTTATTATTATTAGTATTATTAGAATTATTATTTGCTTAAAAAATAGAGCCAAAGCACCGAGGGCAATCAATTTCCTTTCCTATTTGGAATGTTGACTTATTTTTTCTCCTCCTAAGAATCAGAGAAGCCCTTATTATTAGTATTAATAGTATTAGTATTAGTATTATTATTAGTATTAGTATTATTAGTATTATTATTTGCTTTAAAATTAGAGCCTAAGCACCGAGGGCAATCGATTTCCTTTCTTTTTTGGAATGTTGGCTTCCTTTTTTCTCCTTCTAAGAATTAGAGATGCCCTTATTATTAGTATTAATAGTATTATTAGTAGCATTAGTAGCATTATTAGTATTATTATTTGCTTAAAAATTAGAGCCTAAGCACCGAGGGCATTGGATTTCCTTTCCTATTTGTAATGTTGACTTCTTTTTTTCCTTCTAAGAATGAGAGCAGCCCTTATTATTAGTATTAATAGTATTACTAGTAGTATTATTAGTATTATTAATATTATTATTTGCTTAAAAATTACAACCTAAGCACCTTTCCTTTCGTATTTGGAATGTTGGACCTCTTTTTTCTCCTTCTAAGAATGAGAGCATCATTAGTATTAATAGCATTAGAAGTAGTATTATTAGTATTATGAATATTATTAGTATTATTATTTGCTTAAAAATTAGAGCCTAAACACCGAGGGCAATCGATTTCCATCCCTATTTGTAATGTTGACTTCTTTTTGTCTCCTTCTAAGAATGAGAGCAACCCTTATCATTAGTATTAATAGTATTATTAGTATTATTAGTAGTATTATTATTTGCTTAAAAATGAGAGCCTAAGCACCGAGGGCAATAGATTTCCTTTCCTGTTTGGAATGTTGAGTTCCTTTTTCTCCTTCTAAGAATGAGAGCAGTCCTTATCATTAGTATTAATAGTATTAGAAGTATTATTATTAGTATTATTAGTATTATTTGCTTACAAATTAGAGCCAAAGCACCGAGGGTAACCGATTTCCTTTCCTATTTGGAATGTTGAGTTCTTTCTTTCTCCTTCTAAGAATGAGAGCAGCCCTTATTATTAGTATTATTAGTATTATTATTAGTATTATTATTTGCTTAAAAATTAGAGCCAAAGCACCGAGGGCAATCGATTTCCTTTCCTATTTGGAATGTATAATTAAAAAAGAGAGAGAAAGGGGGAGGAGGAGGGGGAAGAGGGGGGGATGCAGTCCCTCCCTCCCCCCCCCCCCAGTTTCCCTCCCCTCGGTAGCCTCTGGCGCTGCTCCAGATCACTTCCTTGCCCCCAAATCAGCGGCGCCTCGTTTACACGTCTTCTTTCCCTGGCTCGGATTAATTGAAGCGCTGCTGCCTCTTCCTCGCTCCACTTTCCTCTGTGTGTGAGTGAGTGTGTGAGTGTGTGTGCCTCTCCCCCTTTCCTTCCCTTTCCCTCCCTCTCCCCCAGCGTTGCCTCCGCCAGCCCCCTCCGTCTGATTACATCTCGGAATTCTCCACTGAATGAACGTCACTTACAATACGAAGGGAGCTCGCACCGCCGCCTGCCGCAAAAGCCTTTCACGCTCCATTTGGTCCCGCGTTTTCCCTCCCAACCCCACCCAACACCCCCCCCCCCCCCGCTTTGAAAGTCCTCGTGTAATATTAATAGTCATGAATATCAATTATTGCCAGGCGGCGTAAAGGGGGAAGGCGAAGGAGAAAGGGGGCGCCGGAGCAGTCGGAGCCTCGCCTTGGGTGGAAGAGGACGGGCTGCCCTGCCGGGGGAAGGAGAAGAAGAAGAAGGAGAAAAAGAAGGAGGAGAGTCTGCTCCAGGGCCCGGCAAAGTGGGGCACCCTACAGCCTCCCCCCCTTCCCAATACCCCCCTCCTTCCCTCCCTCCCACATTTTTTTAGTTTTGATGGATAGACTCGGCAAGACCTCCAGCTGTTCTCCAGAGTGGCCCGCGTTCCTTTGCAGAGCTTTTTGAGCCTTCTCCCGCTCCTTATTTTACTATTATTATTTTTGTAGCTGCTTCCAGACTTTTTTTAAAAAAAAATCCAGATGTTAGTCCACACGTATTCCGCTATGGTGAGTTTGGGATCGCAATTAGGTGTGCGTGTGTCTCTCCCTCCCTCCCTCAGTCTCTTTCTTTCTTTTTTTCCCTTCCTTTCTTTCTTTCTCTCTCTCTCCCAACGCCTTTGGCCTGGTAATTTAGCACAATAATTGAAGGAGGCTTGCAGCTGCTTCTCCCTTTCGCATTGTCTTCTCGGTTAGAGCTTGGGGGGTGAGAGGGGGAGGGAAGGAGGGAGGGGGGAAGGATGAAAAGAGGAGGGAGGGAAAGAGAGAGAGAGGGAGAAACTTCTGTTTGAGACTTTGCTCTTGGGGGTTTGGAGCAGGCTTTCCATTCCCCCCTCCTTAACCGAACTTTGCTAAAATTCGGCCGACAATTAGCAAGTTAGGTATATTTTAGCTCGGATTTATTATTATTATTATTATTATTATTATTATTATTATTATTATTATTATTATTATTATTAATGAGTTTTCAGACAAACATCCCATGCTAGATCTGCCCTGCCATATAATACACTGGACTGGGATATATGTCTTTACTGAACAAGGGCATTTGCAGAAATGTTGACTATTTTTTTCCTCCATAGTTAGATATATTTTCAGATTAATACAAAAGTCCCATGCTGGATCTGCCCTGCCATATAATGCATTGGACTGGGATATATGTCTTTATTGAACAAGGGCATTTGCAGAAATGTTGACTATTTTTCCTCCATAGTTAGATATATTTTCAGATTAATACAAAAGTCCCATGCTGGATCTGCCCTGCCATATAATGCATTGGACTGGGATATATGTCTTTATTGAACAAGGGCATTTGCAGAAATGTTGACTATTTTTCCTCCATAGTTAGATATATTTTCAGATTAATGCAAAAGTCCCATGCTGGATCTGCCCTGCCATATAATGCATTGGACTGGGATATACGTCTTTATTCAACTAGGGCATTTGCTGAAATGTTGACTATTTTTCTTCCATAGTTAGATATATTTTCAGATTAATACAAACGTCCCATGCTGGATCTGCCCTGCCATATAATGCAAATCGACTGCATTGGATTGGAATATATATCTTTACTGAACAAGGGCATTAGCAGAAATGTTGACTATTTTTTCCTCCATAGTTAGATATATTTTCAGATTAATGCAAAAGTCCCATGCTGGATCTGACCTGGCATATAAATGCAAATCGACTGCATTGGATTAGAATATATATCTTTAGTCAACAAGGGTATTAACAGAAATGTTGACTCATATATTCGGGCTGGAATATATGCCATTGGATTGGAATATATGCCATTGGATTGGAATATTTGCCTATGTATCCAAACAGGGGCATTGGCAGAAATATTCATTATTTTCCCCCAGAATTAAATATGTTTTCAGATTAATACAAACTTCCCATGTTGGATCTGCCCTGCCATATAATGCAGATCGACTGCACTGGATTGGAATATATGCCATTGGATTGGAATATTTGCCTATGTATTCAAACAAGGGCATTGGCAGAAATATTCATTATTTTCCCCCAGAATTAGATATGTTTTCAGATTAAAACAAACGTCCCGTATTGGATATAATGCAGTTTCGAGCGTTGAACCGAATGGTCTGGCCGTGGTATCCTTGATTCGGTTTTCCTGCTATTTCTTTTGCCAAAGTTCAGCATGTTTTCGGTTTCCGTCCCACGCTGGATCTACATGTCATGCAAACTGGATTATATGGCAGTGTAGACTCATCTAATGCCGTTCAGTACAGCTCCTGAACTACAATATGTGTCAATGTAGAATCAGCTCCAGTTATTAATAATAATTAACAATTAATAATAATGATTAATTATTATTATTATTATTATTATTATTATTATTATTATTATTAAATACAAAATGTTTAATCAAATACAAAAGCCAGCTTAGTGATCTTGTTTGCTCATCTTGTCCCATGCTGGATCTACATGTCATGCAAACCGGATGAACTGGATTATATGGCAGTGTAGACTCATCTAGTGCCGTTCAATGCAGTTCTGGAACTACAATATGTGGCAGTGTAGAATCAGCTCCAGTTCTTAATAATAATTAGTCATAATTAATAATCAGCTTCAGTTATTATTAATAATAATCAATAGTAATTAATCATAATTATGATGGTTATTAATAATAATAAATACAAAATGTGTATTCCAATACAGAAGCCAGCTTAGTGATCTTGTTTGCTCATCTTGTCCCATGCTGGATCTACATGTCATGCAAACCGGATGAACTGGATTCTATGGCAGTGTAGACTCATCTAATGCCGTTCAATACAGTTCTGGAGCTACAATATGTGGCAGTGTAGAATCAGCTCCAGTTATTAATAATAATAATAGTAATTAATCATCTTATTATTTAATAATAATAAAAATACAAAAATGTAATCAAATACAAAAGCCAGTTTAGTGATCTTGTTTGCTCATCTTGTCCCATGCTGGATCTACATGTCATGCAAACCGGATGAACTGGTTTATATGGCAGTGTAGACTCATCTAGTGCCGTTCAATACAGCTCTGGAACTACAATATGTGGCAGTGTAGAATCAGCTCCAGTTCGTAATAATTATTATTATTATTAATCATAATGAATCATAATGATGATTGTCATTAATAATAAATACAAAATACAAAATGTGTAATCAAATACAAAAGTCAGCATAGTGATCTTGTTTGCTGTGTACTCATCTTGTTATGTATCAAATAATAATATATAGATAACAATACAAACTTTTGTTATATTCCGCCCTCTCTCCCTAAGGGGACTCAGGAAAAATTACTACAAAGGACGGCAAATAGTTGACTTCCTAGTTTTTTAAATAATAATAATAATAATAATAATAATAATAATAATAATAATACATCACACCGTCCTAGACGCTTGGGAAGTGTTCGACTTGTGATTTTGTGATATGAAATCCAGCATGCTGTGACATACTGTGTTTTTGTGTCAGTAAAATAATAATAATAATAATAATAATAATAATAATAATAATAATAATAGAGTTCTGCTATCTAAAGGAAACCAATACAATGCTGGGGAGGAATCTAAATCTGGATCGGATTTCGTTTCACTAAACGAGCCCCAGTGTGACCTTTTGTCCCTTACAACTTTTCCTAATGGCTTTTTTTTTAGAATTGCAACTTCCTCGTTCTGAAGGAAAAAAAGGAGAGGTGCGGTTTGAGAGGTGATGTTTGTTTATTTTTCCGCATCTATGCTTTCATTTACTCTGGAAGGAGAGTGATGAATCATGTTGCTATCCGATCTCTCGTTCCTGGCGTTGAAACATTTTCGGGGGGGGGGGAGACCCCGGAACTCGTGGAGAAAGTGGGGCCGAAATCTCGTTTGCCTCTTTTCAAATCGGAACTTGGAACTCAAAGTGGTTAGAAAGCTCAACTTGGTGCTGATGCTTAGGAAGCAAAGAAGCATTTCTCTTCTGTTACCCAGGTTGGATCTCTCTGTAGTTCGAACTGCATTTTATATAGTCCACGTAGACCTATAGAAAGCAGTTGAGGTTGCGCTGAACGGCATTGAATGGATCTCTAATCCTGCATTGTTTGGCAGTGTAGACCCAGCGCCAGTCTTTCCAATGAATCCTAGGGTAAGGGAGACCACGGGATGAATCTAGACAGCCACATCCTGCAGTTCAAAGAGAGTAAACCCCATATAATGCAGTTTGAATGTAGATTCCTATGAAGATGGAAACTAAAAAGCCGGGTGGGGAAAGTGGTGTG